GTATACCCTTTGGTTGGTTGATGATGCATGGAGGGGATTATAACCATGGCAATGAAACGATATATGATAGGATGAATGTAAAACTAATGTTCTCCCATGTAAACGATCACATAATTCACAATAAAACATTAAAAAAAAAGAGCTATTACTCATAAATTCTAGTCTCTTTTGAGCTAATCTTCACCGAGGACTCTTTGATCCTTTGTCTTGTTCTAGATAATTTATTATTTAGTTTAATTCTGGCCATCCCTCTGCAAGCTGGATGCAGTTATTACAGCAGCCCACTGCCATCAAGTCGACTCTAACCATAGCGATTCCATGGGACAGAGTAGAACTGCTCCCTAGGGTTTCTGAGGCTGTCAGTCTTTATGGGAGCAGACAGCCTCACTTTTCTCCTGGGGGGTGGCTGATGGGCTCAAACTGATGACGTTGTGGTTAGCAACCCACTGTGTAACCCACTAAGCCATGCCCTTCTACGTGTGCGGTAACTGCATTGAAGGGAAGAGAACTGGCAAGAACACATAGCTGAGCAGGATTCCAATCCGGGTCTCTTAACTCTACAGAAATGTCTCCTACTTAACACCACATATGCTTTGGACTGGTAAGTAGATGCATGATTGGTGACATGTACAATGGGCATTTTGTAGGAACTCATTTACTGCACAGAATAAACCAAGACCCTCCAAACATCATCTAAAGTCCAGGTCTCTGTGAATTGGAATCAACTCAATGGAAGTGGGTTTTGATTTTTTTTTTTTTTTAAAGTACAGCCCATATCTTCAAATATATTTCAGAAAATGCATTATTTCATGATATAGCTAACTTTAAAAAAAGAAACTACATGCTTAAAAACATGGCTTCTGTTCCATTAGTTTAGTTCAAGTGGAGTAACATACATGTGTACAAACTTATCATGGATGATGACAAACATTTTCAAAGGAGGAGCTGAAATTCTGTGTTTGTTCTGGCTGTGAACAGGTAAGCCTGCTACTGCTCTCCTCAGCCCACCTCAATCCCTGAGTCTGAGGAACAAAACACATGCAGTTCACATAGAGGAGATGTGATTCCACTGACCCTGCCCCCTTCCTGCATCCCTGAGCAGAGCCACTGGACTGTAACAGAGACAGAGAAGTGAAGAAGGGAAACCCACATGTGAATCTCTGTTCCCCAGCCACTGCCCTTTCCTTCAGGTAATGATACTGTTGTCCTCATCACCATCAAAGCCTCTATAGTCTTTGACACTGTGGACCATTGTTGTTGTTAAGTGCCGTCAAGTCAGTTTCAACTCACAGCGACCCTGCACAGGATTTCCAAGATGTGGATGGTGAGTTTGAACTGCTGACCTTGTGGTTCAAACTAACCTTGTTTGCAGTCCAGTGCTTATCCTACAGTGCCACACCAGGATCATGATGGTGGTGGTTATGTGCCGTGGAGTTGGTTCCGACTCATAGTGACCCTGTATAGGGTTTCCGAGGCTGTAAATCATTAGGAGAGCTGAAATCCTATCCTCATCTTTCTCCTGTGGAACAGCTTGTAGTTTCGAACCACTGACTGTGAGATTTGCAGCTCGATTTGTAAACACTATACTACCAGAGCTCCTTATACCAGGAGCTAGTTTATTAAATGGGTTAAATAAGTGGCTTATTCTCAGAGCATGCCTGATATCTTATTTATACAGAAAATGTTGATATTCATGTCCTGTGATCCCAGAGGCACTTTATTTCCAAAATAGAGGAAATCTGGGGATAGAGGCTTTGAGTTCTTACTGTAGACTTTATTCTTACAGGTTTAAATGGCCCAGCTCCATTTTTAACAAGAAAACTGCACTGGGGTCTCAGAACCCTTTATAAATACCAGCTAAAACTTTTGCTACTCAAAGGAAATAGAAAATCCTTTCTTGCTGAGTCCTGGAACTACAAACTTTTAGAGCCTAAACAGTTTTCTCTAGGGAGAGACTTACGGATCTGGCATTCCAATCCCCCTTTTACAAATTTGGACACTGAGGCCCATGATAGTCACGTGACTCATCCATGACAAACCTTCCCCAGGTGTTCTTGAACCTCACTCCATCACTTTGTTGAGGTTCTGTTCACAGCTCACCACCTCACAGATGTCTCCTAAAACCTCCAACCACTTCCATCGAGTGGAGTCCGGCTCATAGACTCCCTGCTTAAGGTTTCTGAGGCTGTGAATCTTGAAGGGAGCAGAAAGCTGCTTTCTCCCATGGAATGGCTGGTAGGTTCAACCTGCTGACCTGTGTATCAGTTCATTGTGTAGCCCATTACACCATCAGAGCTCTATACTTCATTCTCTATATCCCTACCCTGCTTTAAAAAAAAAAAATTACAAAGAAGTTATTGTTGTTCATATTATTTATGTACTTATTGTCTTTCTTGTCCTACAAGAAAATACAATTTCCATGGAACTCTGTGTATTGCCATAGCTCCAGAATCTGCCTCGTAGTAAATGCTGAGGAACTATTTGCTGAATGAATGAATAAATCACTGGTGTTGGGAAGAGAATCCTGAGGCTCACACCCTGCCTTACCAACTGTGACCAGTGCCTCTCATCTTCCCACAGTCTTTCTCTCCTCCAATGCAAACACCACCAATGGCAAACATATGTGGATGTTTACTTACTATGCTCCAAGTACTGGCTGGACATTTGATGTATATTAGCTCATTGAATTTTAACAATGAAACCCTACAAGATGAGTATGATCATAGCCCCCATTTTACAGATGGAGAAACTGAGGCACAGAGAAGTTAATGAAATCACTCAGGTCTGCAGGTCAAACCACAGCATACTGACTCCAGGGCCCACACACTTGACAATTTTGCTCTACTGCCTCTTGTAATGGTGGCCACTCAAGTCATGTCTACGCACTTTACACTCTCCTTTCCTTCCTCAGATGCATTGTGGGAGTGGACGGGGGTCACCGTGCTGCCATCACAAACATAAAAAGTGGAAGTTCAGTTTGAGGAAAGAAAGGGTGAAGCTGTGACAGTAGACTCATGAAGGACAGGTAAGAAGGGGAGACCAGTGTCTTCATACGCAGGTACGCACACAGGTAAGTGAGGGAGACAGAGACGAAGAGAAGGACGAGAGGCCCCAGCCAAGGACAGGAAGGAAACAGTCACAGGTGGGCAAATACAGGCCGAGCTACAGGACCACAGGAGGCAAGGTAATGAAAATATCAATTTCAAACCACTGTAAAAATCAAAAGCAAAAAACTTTACTCAATAATGAAACATATGAGTAAACAGCAATTCAGTTGGACCTAAAGGAACCAAAGGGGCAGGTAAGTCACTGTGTAAAGTCTTAATAATTACAGAGCTGGGAACAGTGCCTACTTGCGTGAAAAAGTGGACCGCTTGCTTCCCGCAGCAGACATATGGACCTCAGGAGCGGAAATGCTACCCGTGCTGCTTGAAGAGCTAAAATCGGCTTCACTCCCTGCAAAACAATAGAGAGAGAGAGAGAGATGCATGAAGGCATGGAGAACACCCTGCAGTGGACAACATGCCTGCCTTCCAAGGTCCTGGCTCTGTTTGCCCACTCTCTCAGCAAGCAGCAGGATTCCAGACTCCTGTTTCCTCAAAGCCTAGCGGACAAACACAGGGACATCTTTCATAAACACAGCTCACAAGCAGAGTAAAGCTGGCATCAGAAAGACATGGATGCCTCTGCTGGTTAACAACAGTGAACCAAGAAATGCCCGCCATCTCTCTACATCAGGGTTATATTCAACAACACCCATGTGCCAGTCCAAACTGAAGCCAAAGAAAAGCACACTTATCAGTCCAAAGGTAGTTTTCCCCACAGCATTTATCTTTGTGTGTGTGTGTTTTTTTTTTTTTGTAGTCAGCTAGGCATACCAGAATCTGGCAAGTTAGTTCCAGAGACAAATGCCCAGTTATAAGCAGTCCAGGAACAATGCCCAGGTTCCAGAAACTGCTAGAACTGGTACTATCTGATTACTGATTATATGAACTGCAGGCTTCAGTTTTATTTTATTAAGATCCAAACCTTAGAAAAAAGCAGCAATTGAGCATTTCCAAACATGTGGACAACGTTTACAGTGACTGTGATGGAACTCTAGAATTATATTGAAATTTGAGGGCTTAGTTTGGTGTGGGATTGAGGAAGTATTGTCCATAAATTTACAGAGATTATATTAAACTTGGAGTGTGGATTATTGTTGAGTGTGGAATTTTAATAGACATAAATTGTGTGACAGAATTACAAATACAAATACATGTCTAACAACAAATAATCCCCCTAATTCTGAAATAGTAACCATAGAAATATTCCCAGGGAATGCCTGGAGAAATAAGTGAAGAGGACAGAAAAAGCAAGATAGAACAATGGGAAGAAAATACAGATTTTTTTTTTTTTAAAGTGATTAAATTCCTCTTGCCTTTGGAAACTATTTCTAGAAATATAATTTTATTTGAGCTGAAGAATATAAATAGCTTAAATTCCTCAAAAGTTTATAATAAGCAGTGAAAGTCTGAAACTACCAGCTGCTCCCTGTGGGAGAAAGATGAGGCTTTCTGCTCCTGTGAAGATTTACAGCCTCAGAAACCCTGTACAGGGTCGCTATGAGTCGGAACTGACTCCATGGCATATAACAACAACAACAATAATACAGAGTCCTGGTGTGGTTCTGGAGGGTAAGCACTGGACTGCTTGGTCAATTTGAACCACAAGGTCAGCAGTTCAAACCTACCAGCCACTCCTCACCTATCCTATACAGGGTCACTATGAGTTGGAACCGACTCAATAGCACTTAACAACAAAAGCAATAATACTAACAACAATAACTAATGATCGAATGCCCCGACTCCACGGCACATAACACATGACCTTGGAGTCCTGGTGTGGCGCCGCAGGATAATGTGCTGGACCATAAAATCAGTTTGAACAGCAAGATTGGCGGTTCAAACTTACCAGCTTCTCCTCCGAAACGCTGCGCAGGGTTGTTATGAGTCAGAATTGACTTGATAGCACTTAACAACAACAAAAACACTATGACCTAGGAGTCCTAGTGTGGTGCAACGGGGTAAGCCCTGGACTGCAAGGTCAGCAGTTCAAACCCACCAAGCTACTCCTTGGAAACCCTATAGAGGGTTGCTATAAGTCAGAACCAACTTGATGACATTTAACAACAACTAAGACCTAGGCACTGAACTATATGTATGAAGTGTACAAGTCTTTATGTCACTTAATCTCAAAATCCTTGTTAGGCATTGATCTCACCATTCCACACCTGAGCAAACAGGTGGCTGTGTCCAAGCCTTATAAGTGATGATCCTCACCCAGGACCAAATTCCATGCTACTCCTACAACAGCAGTAGGCTGTGTGTCCTCAGGAAGGAAGAAGAGATGGACCCAAATAAACTCCATGAGTCACAAGCACAATTTGTGGTCAGACTCTGGCCCCTTGGAGAGTAGAATCCTCTAAGTGTTTTATTAACTTTACAAAGGAAGGGTAGGCAATAGTTAAGTCTGAGAAAGAAAAGTCCCTTCCCTGGCTTCCAGAACTTCTGAGACATCTCTCACAAAGTCTAGGCTGTTTGGGGAAAGACATCAAGAATGACTTCTTAGTAAAGATGATGGCAGTGACTTTCAGCTCATACAATGCTGGGAAGATTAGAGAGGCAATTTATTAAGACTGAGATAAGCCATTCCGTCTAGATTTCAGAGACTCTGTCAAATGATGTAAAGATCTCCTAGAAGCCCCCTGACCTAATTACTTGCTTCTGAGTAACGCACTGGCTAAATTGTCGTATTTTGCAATCTCAACGAGCCATGCAACCTGTTGTTATTGTTAAGTGCTCTCGAATCAGTTCTGACTCATAGCGCCCCTGCGTAGGGTTTCTGAAGAGTGGATGGTGACTTGACCTTACGGTTGGTTGAATACTTATCCTAAAGCTACACCAGGACTCCTAGCAACATACTTTTCCTAACAGTCTTGTCTGCTACTAAATGAACAGGTTGGTTATTAAATGATAAAGGTAGACAATTTTCAATAAAGAATTCTATGTTTATAGCCTTCAGGTAAGACAACATTTTCTAATGGAAAATTATTACTCTGAAATAACCTGCCTACACAAAAACTAAAATTCTCGAGCAAGAACAGTCAATTGCTAAAAAGCCATTGTTACTTCAACATGCCTTTGATCTGTGGGGATTATGTATTTTGAACAAAAGGAACAAGTGTTTTCTACATTTTGTTGCACTAGAATTCAGTATAGTTGGCCATATATTTGCAAGGTCTATGGTCACTTCATTCCAGTATTTTTCTATCTGATCTTCTGCACCTCTGAAAGAGATTAGGGGAGCCATTGTGGAGACCCGGCAGTTGCTTCCTGAACTATTTTAGTAAAGTTCTTGTTCGATGTCATCAAGTCAATTTTGCCTCATTGCAATCTCAGCTAACAGAGTAGAAAAGCCCATGGGGGTTCCTAGGCTGTGATCTTTATAGGAGCAGCTAGCCAGGTTTTTCTCCTGTGGAGCCGTTGGGTGAGTTTGAACGGCCAACCCTTCAGTTAGCAACCAATCACTTAATCATTGTACCACTGAGGCTCCTTATTGTAGTAACATGATAGTGATAAGTCCCTTATTTCAGTTTATGATTTAAAGAAAACAACCTCAAGTTTGGCCAATTCGTAGGCATACCCTACTCATTCACTAAGCAAATTAACTAAAAGAAGACGGGAGACCTGAACACCTTCCATTTATCTATGAGTTGACAAGACACAAGGAAGCAGAGGCACTCCATTTTTGTAAATTCCTTTAGTGTTTGAAAATAGAGAGGGCACTGTGAGTATTCTAGTTCAATGCTCTCTTAAGTCTATTACCATCACAGAGACTAAAAACATTAGTTCTGCGTCAGAGTGTCTGGGTCCAAATCCCATTTCTACTGCCCAATAGATGGACAATCATAATACCTTCCAGACAGTGTTATTCTAACCAATGAATGTATATGTGTATACAATATATATGTGTTGTTAAGTGCCATCGAGTCAGCTCTGACTCACAGTGACCCTGTATAATGTTTCCAAGGAGAAGCTGGTGGGTTTGAACCACTAACCTTGCAGTTAGCTTGCAGTCAGCAGTACAGTGCGTTATCTTACAGTGCAATACCAGGGACTCTACATGTATAAGCACACACATATAAGTTTGTCGCTGTTCAGTGCTGTTGAGTCGGTTCTGACTAATAGCCACCCTGTATAAGGTTTCTGAGGAGCAGCTGGTGACTAGCAGTCTAGTGCTTATCCTATAATGGCACTAAGTAAAGTGTTTACAAAAACACCTGACTCACTGTAAACTCTCAATAATAGCTGTTATTACTATTCTGCAGATGTTAAAAAGACAACTTTTATTACACCATATATTTCTTTTGTAGAGAAAAGCAATGATAAAGAAGGGAAAATAGATTTCATAAGGCAATAGCCAAAAAATAAATACAATTAACCTTTTGGTATACAACTGTTTTAATATTCCTATTTGCTATATCATTATGTAATCTAATGATTTTCTCATAATATATATCTTTAAACCATAGTACATCTTGTTTTAGTAGATCAATGAATTGTTGTTATTGTTAGGGGCCATTGAGTCGGTACCAACTCATAGCTACCCTATGCACAACAGAACAAAGTCAATTGAAACATAACAGAAGCAAACAGAAAGAAGTCAATGAATAGGTAGGCTATTTCCAAGTTTTTTACTATTAATAGCAAACACTGTGTTCCAGAAACCATCCCAATCAACTTATATATCTATATTAATGCATTTATTCCTGGTGTGGTGCTGTAGGATAAGCACTGGACTGCTAACTGCAAGGTTGGTAGTTCAAACCCAGCAGCTGCTCCTTGGAAACTCTATACAGGGATGCTGTAAGTTGGAACTGACTCAACGGCAATTAACAACAACAAATTTTTCGTAAGAGTACAAAACATATGAGGTAGGAAAAATTAACACTTCCTTTCACAAACTATTGTTGTTAAGTGTTGCAGAGTCGGTTCCAACCTATAGAGACCCTGTGTAGGGTTTCCAAGGAGTGGCTGGTGAGCTTGAACCACCAACCTTGAAAAAGTTAGGCAGAGAGAAGTCAAATGGCATGCAAAACGTAACAAAGCCAGTAAGTGGTGGAGGCAAAACTGGAACCCACAGCATCTGACCTCAGAGTGCATACTCTTAACCACAGGTTTAACATTTACAGATATCCTTGGGCATGCAACCTATATCCTTACTTGATTACATCCTTAGAATACATTATTAAAAGAAGAATGACTAAATCAATGGATATACTCAATTTAAAGACTTTCATCATAGTTCCTAGGAATCTTTAGATGGTACTAGCCTAAAGCAGTTTAAAATGTTGTGGATTAGGCATTGGGCTTCTGACAGCAAAGTAAGTAGTTCTAGCCTACCAGTGGCTCCTT